TTTTTCATTATTGTAAAATTTTCGTTTGGGACTTTGTTTATGAAATCCTGCCAACTTCTTTGGATGTGAAATTAACTCACTTTCTATTTAATTTTCAAACTCGTTTTAAACAATGGGCTTAGTTTTACAAAGATGTTCAAATTACAATTTTTTTAATATTATTTATTTCTTATAGTAAAAATGAACTGCAGAGGGCTATAACAACAAATTTTCTAGCATATTCAGTTTTATTTAATTAAAAATGCCCAAGTATCCATTCATGGATATATCGAACATATAATTTTTAATATTGATTTCTTATGTTTGTGTTGTTTTTTGAGTTCTAATATGGAAACGTAATTAAAATTTAGATTATAATTTAATCTAATTTCTACAATTAAATTAAGAAATAATAAATAAAACTCTTGCACGAGTTGATATTTCAAAATAGGTACATATTTTTTAAAATGTCAGAGTAAAAAAGTTTCTGTTATAAAAGGGTGTCCAGAAAAATAAAAGCATCTTTAACCAGAAATCTTTTGGCTCAGCATAATCATACGTAGCCCAATTAAGCTATATCCAAAATCATTTAATGTATCCGCTAGAATTATTCAAATTTTATCAAAAATGTTTTTTTTTGGAATAATTCAAAAGCTTGTATATTAATTTCAACCATTTTTGGGATGTGAATTACTACATTTAAATGAAGTTTTTTTTAATGTTCCATAAAATAATTTTGAGAATGTACAATTGTGAAAAAAATAATGGTATTAGTATCAGACAATATATTTTTTTTATTATACAAAAACTACATATTTTTTTAAATAGCAGACTTCAATTGGAATCTTTTTTATCTTCAGAATTTTTTTTTTTTTTTTTAATGATCAGTTTTATCAGAAAACAACAATTTAATAAAATATAGTTAAATTATCATTAAAAATTTTGGATTGTCTATTAAATCTTAGATTTAACAGTATACTATAGATGAAATCTAAAGAATTTTTTCTAACAACCTATATAGTTTGACCATTAATACAGTCCACACAATTTTACTTTTTTCAATCGATTTAAAAAAAAATAGTTTCGACATTTCTGCTAACCTTAAAATAAAAAAGTTAAAAATTGTATTCAAATATGTAATAGTGTTCCAGTGAAGATAATAAAATTGCTAATAGCTTATGTTAGAATTGAAAGCTGCTACATACATTATTTTTGAGAACAGAAAAATAACATACGTTTTCAGTTGAAATTATTTTGCCACTCTCTAAACTTTGTAGTAATTCAGTGCATATTATGATCAAGGTGTCAAAGGTCTTTGAGTAATAAGTAAACACTGTTATTCTTTTGTTAACATAACTTATGACCTAAGTTAAGAATTAAAGTTGTTATTGCATTAATAAAATTAAGTGTGTTAGATTAATTATAAATTATATTCAAAAATTAACTAAGAGAATTTTATATAAAATCATCTTCAATTTCATTTCAAGTATTAACAAACAATTTTTTATTTTGTAAAGCAATTAAATAACACAGAAGTTTATTTATATCGAATTCAACTCCCCCATGAAAACAGGGGTTAATTTATTTAATCTCTTTAGAAAAAAGCAAGTCAATATAATATAGTAATATAATAATATAATTTTCAAATAAAATATGTTTTTTTGAAATCTTATATTTATAAAGCATGATAAATTTTCAATACAGGAAGTAAAAAATAAAGCAGTATATAAATGAAATATTCATATTTTGCATCACAGCGCATATAATAATCATATGCGTTTTGATAAATTATGAAATTTTTAAAATAATTTTTAATTTTAAAATTAATATTTCAATAATTTCAGTATATTTTTTAGAATATTTTTGACTGCAATAATATCGTGTCACAGTAAAATACTACATATATCAAATTATATTCATTTTTATATTTCATAAATGCAATCGCTTTAAAACCTTGTCTTATAAGAAAATTTGTATTACTGCTTGTAATACTTTAAATCATACTTGAACTTTTCCACGCAAATCACTGCATGATCACAGTTTGTAGATAATCTAAAATATGTAAAAGTTCTTTGCAAAAAGAACAGTGCACGCTTTGTTCCTTGTACTATGTACTACGTCGATTAGTTGATGCCATCGAACGGTGTCAACAGCTTTTTTCCTGCTTTTGCTATTTTCTATTCTAATTCTCAAGCACTCATACTTTCTTTTGGTCACAAATTTTTCTTTCTACTGAGCGGTCACATAACACACAGCATCGTATGCCAATGTACAAATAATACTCGTGCGCTATTGCCAAGTTGCTGTTGCAACTTGTGGCATTTTGTCCTTCACCAGTCTACACCCCAGTGTATTTTAACTACTTAGCACAGAAATTACTGTTTTGGACAAATGAATATTACACTTATTTGTATAAATTGAAATGTCGATCAGAAAATTAAAAAAATCACTGATACAGTACATTTTATGAGTATTTTTCAAATTAGTTTTTAAATTAATAAAACTGCAATTACTAATATCTGAAATTTCCAATAATTTTATGCTTTATTTTTAATTTACAAATAGATATTATAATTTTATAATATTATTAAAAATGTGTACCATGGTCAAAATTAGTGTACCTTCCCATCTGTATGACTGGGAAATCGCCAAAAATGTTAAGTTCATGCAACCGACCAACAGACAATCATCGCGGGTATAAAAATGTGCACGCTTGTTTAAAAATGAGAAAAATATAAAATACAATTTTTGTTTTTAAATAAATAAAAAAAAAGATAAAAAATGATTCTCTGCTATCGTCCACCTCCTCATGGTGAGACACAGAATCATAGTGACCGAGAGCAGTTAAAAACATTCAAAACGACAAAACATAAAATTGATGCAAAATCCAGTGCAAAATTGTAAAAAAATTGTCCCAAAAGGCGCCAATTTTCTCATTTTTTGAACAAATGTGCACCATTTAGTGCTTGCGATGTTCGCCCACTGACCAATTGCATGAACTTGATATTTCTGGCTATTTCCCAACCATACAGATTGGAAGGTACACAAATTTTAAGAAAAGTATAATGACAAAAAATGGCTATTTTGTGTCCGAAGCTTTAGTCTGTGGGTTGTACATAATAGTCTACATATTCCTGGCACCTTTTTATCCTCAAACGTTGAAACATGTACACGAATTCTAAGAAAAATCCAAATTTTCACATTTGTATACGAAAATAACCAAAAATAGCCATTCTGTGTCCGACATGTTTCTGTAGTTCACGATCGGATCAATTTATCATTCGCCAATGCAAAAGATTTGAAAACCTCAAATTTCGTCATTTTACATTCAAAATCATCTGCCATTTTATGTCCACCATTTTAGAATAATCCAAAATGTTTGACTCAGTGTTGCCAGATATACCATTTTTATGGTGTTTATACCATTTTTTTACCTATCATACCTATAAGTTTTTTGAGGATACCATTTTCCTACCATTTTTTGGCTGCAGATACCATTTTCTTACCATATTTTTAACTGTACATTTTTTATTTCATATGCTGCTATAGTAGGTATTAACGAAACATGGCACATCACTAGTCTTACTCTCTAAAACACATGGGTTATGCGTCAAACTCGATTGCTGGATACATATTTGTTTACCTTTTAGTAAACTATTTATAAGATTCTTGTGATTTAGCCAAATTATGGGGGATGAAAATAAGAAACGTGCCCCACGCATGACAAAAAAATTCCAAAAGATCCAATTGATTTTTTAGAATTCATCAATATTTTGCTAAACAACAAATTGAAGCCACTTTAATTTGCGGTTGCAAATAAAGCTTGGAATTATTTAATTTGAAGGGCCATTATAATTATAAATAATAGACATCAATTATACCATTTGTCAAGCCAGGTTAACTTTTATAGTGTTTACGAAGATAGTTGAAATCGTATAAAAACTAAAAGTTTATTGTGCAAGTCTTTATTGTGCCCGAGCAGTCCGGGCACAATAAAGAGATACCAACTTGCACAGTAAAGAGATACCGACTTTTAGTTTTTATACGGTTTCAACTATCTTCGTAAACACTATAACAGCATCTATTTAGGTCCCGCTAAATTTTAACATATTTGGTAATACATGGTTTAAAATACAAATTCAATATTACTGTTGTTTTTTTACTTATTGATTATGTGTAAAACCTTGTTATTTTAGTGTTATCAAGATACCACATTTGTCAGTAAAATACCATTTTTTTCAAGTGTCGGGTACCACATATATTTTTTTTCATCTGGCAACACTGGTTTGACCATGGTTTTGCTATAGTCCAGCATATCTAACTGATCGAAAAACACTATTTATTGTCAGAGAAATGTGAAATCTCAAGTTCTCATAGCCAAAACATGTTATAAAATGGTCAGACAGATTTTTCGGCCAAAACTGGTCATGCCATCCGAACGAACACTCTCAAAAACCCTGTATACCGAACGACCAGCCCCCATCTTCACTCTCTATCGAATTAACACACCCTCGAATTCATAGAGGAGAATTCTCATTTTCAGGCGTTAATGGGTTAATGGCGTTACAATGCATATATTTAAATTTTTTTTTAAGGTAAAAATGAAAACAAAATCCGGATCTCATTTTTTTTTTGCCCTATTTTCATTTTGTGGTGTAGTTAAAAAGTTGGAAAATACCCCATTGTTTCATTGCAAAATAATAATAGTGTAATGAAAATCTACTGGACAGTGGAATATAAGCGATGATAAGGTGAGGGTGTTTGCTTTAAAATTGTAAATGAAAAAATTGTTTTTTATAGTAAATAAAGTGGTTTCAAAAAACACTGGAAATACGCTTATATTTATATCTGGCTTGCCTAGAAGCACCTCTGTACTATCACCTTATTTAAAAATAATAAATCCGAACTTTCCTATGCTACTATGTAGGTACTTATAAATTTCAAATATGAAAAAAAATTGGTAAACCAGGCATACAACACACTGACTTTAATAAACCAGAATAATAAATGGGTGCACATACCATATCTGTCCAAGAATTAGTGGTGGCAACTGCGATTGGAGAAAAAATCCTTTAGCTTGTTCCCCTGTTATAATTCCATTATTTGGTTTCAGAGATTTAAATTGTTCTTCATATCTTGCCCTCTCACGAGCCACGATGACCCACGGATCAGTAGAAGGGGTTCCGGCAGCAGACATATCGACTAAAATATATCATGTCATTATTTTTATAAATATACAATAATTGCTTGATTCAGTCAACAACTTTGAACTTTTATATTACAAATACATACTAAAAAATACATGGAAGCACTAAGTTTTTCGACAGACAGAAATGTTATGCTTAATCTAAAGAAGACTTGAGCTTTTACATATTTTAAAATTTTTATACAAAATAAAGCATAGCCAAATTAAAGCCAAAGCCAAATTAAAATGAAATTACTAAATCAGGCCTATATTTATATTAGGGCAAATTAAAATTGCTAGGTAATCGTAAAATAAGCTACAATTTTTTTACCCTTTTATTTTAGTTCAGCAAATTACTGGCAATAGATACCTTATTTTATTTGACTCCAAAATTATGTTTTTAAAACTGCATTTTGTGATACCGTTTTAATAAATTTAAACAATTCAAAATCCTCCCACCGAATTTCAGTCCCGGCCTCGCCACCATTGCAGTATTTTTGACAAATCAATAGGATTTTCAACCATAGATTTTCAACTACTACATGTTGATATTAATGTAATCCTTAACATAAATATCTATAAATAACAAAATCGCGTAACAACATTCTGACAGCTAGATGACAACCTGAAGGAATTGGCGATTCCAACCAGAGTTGCCAGATTATCCAAAATTCCGCCATTTGGGTTATTTCTAAAATACGTTCCAGTTTGCAAAAGCGACTTGCTAGGTTCGAAATATACTATATTTTCTTTGATTTCCACTTGGCCTACATATATTTTTCAGTAGTAAATCAGTGACTGACTATTAGGCCCGTGCTTTGTTATTTTTGGCGATGTTGGGGGCCTAAGTAATTTGGGGGGTGAAGGCACCTGTCTTGGCTTATACCCGCCAGCAGGGGCCCCCCTATTCTAATCTATATCACTCCCCGCACCAGTCCACCGACTTATTTGTCTCGATGGCCGCGTGCACCCTTATAGCTACAACGCTATTTCCAAAAACCCACCCCCAGGCAGGAGTGGTACCGCCACAGCGTTCGCGGCAATGACTACTCCTCAGGCGGTTAGACAAGGCGGCAAATAAAGAAGCGAGAAGACAAGAAGAGCGCCAGAAGAGGCTCCCTGCCGGAGAGGGTGAACCAGGACAAGAAAAGATCCCATAAAGGGCCACGCTTGTGATGCTGTGCTTGTGGTTGGGGCCGACCTTCACCAGGCGACAGCATAGATCAGCTGTGACGAGGCTGTCCGGACCTTCGGGCATATACCTACTAGAGGCAGCCTTCAATACTAAATGAGCGAACAAACATACGAGAGAGAAAGCGAATAAAACTACAAGCTATCTCTCTCACTCCTTAATTTTATTGGTTGAGAATCAGACACCGCGTGCGCCATTATTCGGCGATTCCTCTCCAGCACCTCCCACTTTCCTACGTTCAAGCTCCGAAGAGAGATACCTAGTTGTTTTATTTGCTTTCTCTCTCGCACGTCTTTATGCTCATTTAGCATTTTAGGCTGCCTCTAGAAGGTATATGCTCGAAGGTCCGGACCTACAGGGCTGAGACAAGACAAAGATGGATAATCTCCCTCGGTCCAAATTCAATTAGGCCACCAGCCAGGGAGACTATACAAGGAGCACGAACAGGAAAATTGACTAAAGCCCAGAATAGTTGGTAATAGTAGAAATTACTTATAGTTTTTACCGCTAGGGTCGCTAATGCTCCTTGTACAAATTTGCACTATTTATTGATTTATTTATCTAATTCAAGGTAGCCTGCATAATTTATTTTAAAATTTTTAACACATTACAAAACGACATGATTTATTTTTAATTCAAACTGCTGCTTTCTTTATCTTCCCTCTACTATTTCGGGGTATGTGGGACACTAGCGCCCTCTAATTTGGTAAGATATTTTAAATCATAATGAACTTCGTATTTATTGTTTCTGTGATCTGTGTGGTACTCCTTGTATAGTCTCCATGCCACACGCGCCATTATTCCATGGCTAGAAATTGGCCTCAATGATTTGGGATCGAGGGGGATTATCCCTCTTTATCCTGTCTCATCTCGTGTAGGCCTGGACAGCCTTCGTAGGTGGGCCCCATCCGTCGTCTACCCCGACCGCAAATGCGGCTGGTGTAGGCGCTTTGTGGGACCTCCTTTTGTCCTGGCTGGTTCTTCTGGCGTTCTTCTTGCTTCGCCAGCTCGTCTATGTAAACCCCAGGGGTGGTGTCATGTTTATGATTGGGTAAGGTAGTGCGGCTATGCAGCCTGGGATGCGCTTTGCTAAGGTGGCCCTTAGGCTACCGCGGGAGGGGATAGGTAAGGTGGGTGTGGGGGGGGGGTGTATGTGTGTGTGTGTCGTTGTCTTCGTTTCTTAAACCTGGCGATCTCTGAAACAGAAAAGGTTAGCGGGCAGGGGGGGGGATGTCGTTGGGGTGGACTCCCAGGGTCAAAAAGTTGGTGTCTGCGTCTTTTGTGTTTGTCGGTCACGTCGGGTATGTAGTCAACGGCTTGCCTGAGGAGGGGATTGTCATGTCTAGCGGCTACGTCAAACCATTTCTCCGCGTTTTGTCTTATTGTCTGTGTAGCGTTTGTGTATTGTAAGTCTCGTAATATGTCAGAGTTTCTTACGTACCAGGGCGCGTCGGTGGCCGTGCGGAGGGCTATGTTTTCCACAGCCTGTAATGACTTTAAGTGGCTTTTTGCCGCGTGACCCCACGCCGTGGAGGCGTAGGTTAGCTGCGGTTGAAGTACCACCTTGATAAGCGTTCGCTTATTCCTTAAACTGAGGGTGTTTCCACCTTTGAGTAAGGGATAGAGCCTAGCCCTGGTGGTCTTCGCTCGCGCCACCGTCTCCACGATGTGCGGTTTCCACGTGAGACGCTGGTCCATCGTCATGCCCAGGTATCGTGTTTGTCGATTCCAGGAGATGGGTTCCTGGGATAGTGTCAATCTGTCGAGGTTTTGTGGGATTTTTCGTTTGGTAAAAAGGATAGCCGAACTTTTGTTGGGATTAATTTTGACTTTCCACCTGTTGCACCAGGTTTCAAGTTGGTCTAAGGAGTTTTGGAGGAGGGAGACGGAATATCTAGGATCTACGGATTGGGATGTGATTGTCAGGTCGTCGGCGTATAAGTATATGTTGGTGTTGGGGGGATGTGGGATGTCGGAGTTGTAAATGGTGTATAGGTGTGGGGACAGGACGGTGCCCTGGGGGACACCGGCCTCCATGGGACGGGTGGTGGAAAGGGAATCTTGGATTTGGATGCGGAATTTTCGGTGGTGTAGGTAGGATTTTATGAGTTTGGTAAAGGATATGGGATATTGGTTGGTGAGCATTTTCATCAGTAGGCCTTCATGCCAAACCGTATCGAAGGCCTTTGCGACGTCCAGGAAGACAGCACCAGTGTACTGTCCCCTGTTGAAGATCTCCATACCACAAACATCGCCAAAAATAACGGGATGCGCGCGGTTAAGCCGTGTTCATATGCATATTTCTCTTATTGGTTGCAAAACAAGACTTTTATTACCAATCAGTACAGTACCAACGGCATATACAAAGAAACAAAAACTGGAAGCTTATTTTGTACTCAACTTTAGATTTTAGACATAATTGAGTCAGAAACTATTTTACCCCTATTTTCAAAGGTGCTAAACACAAATCTGAAGGTCAAATCTAGTATTTGAAAAAAATGTATTCAAAATTGTAACTTGTACACAACTCTCAAATTATCACTATTTACAACACTATACAGGGTGTCCCGGTACTTTATATAAAAAAAGTCGAGTACAAATAGAAGAGGTCAAAAATTTTTTTCGTACGGGCCATCGTTAACAAGTTACGGACCATCAAATGAAAATGAATGAAATGAAAATTAAAGAATTATTTTTATCTACATGCCCTAAACTATTAACTTCAACATGATGCAAATTTTATGATCGATAACACTTGCGTACAACTTGTTTTTGATATAATAAGCTTCATTATGCCCAGAGAACGCTAGGGACGGACTATGGTTAACAACCCAGAATTTTTGCAAGATGACGATCGCAATCTGCCTGCATCTAAAATAAGTTCCCTGAATAATTTTCCAACGATAATACCCTCTTGGTTCAACTCGGTAAAATTAACAGTTTAGGAAATATTTGTGATTTTATGTCAGTGTCGAGCGGCGCCTCCACCATTTTTTGTTTTTAATTTTTAATTGGACATAATTACTATGTTAGAACAGTACATATAGAGCCTATAAAATCTTACTGCCTGTTAATGTAATTTTCACTGTATTTTCATGTATATTAGAAGAAAACGCAGTTCCCAAGACAAAGAAACAACTTTAGTGCACCTACCGACCGTCGGTGTGAACTAAAAAATCCTTCGATGGTACGCCGGTCTTGATGAAAAATGACGCGCGTCATTTCGCTTTTATTCTACAGGGCGTCTTGTAATAAACTATTGTAATATTTCTGTGACAAATAACAGAAATAATTTTTAAAGTAAAAATATATTGATATTAAATATGAGTTCATAAATTCAGTTATACCAGCAAAACACTTGAAAAATGCTTACATTAACGATGAATTTGATCATATTCACAATTTTGTTTACATTACATCAGTTATTGGCCTCAGAAATACTACCTGTTGAGATAGGTAAAATTACTATAACAATTTTTGTTATAGAAAATATGTTCACGTAAATTATATGAATACTGGGTGTTCATAATTAAAAAAAAATTTTTCGAACAATACTACATGAATTACATAATTCGTTAAGCAACAGATTGGTAAATGCCTCATAACAAATTTGAGGAAATCTTTGAAAAAACAGTGTGAAGCCAAGAATTTTTCAATTTCCGAGAATTTATTATACACTTAGGGTCATACGACACTATGCTAAAATTAGAACTATTTTCAGTAATTAACTTAATTTAAAATACTGATAAATATGTTATCTAAAAAAAGAAGTAACGCCTCAGCCCAAGATAAACTACTACAGTGTAAAACAATTGAAAATAATTAAAAACTAATATTTTCTCGATTCTTTTTCTCTTTTAATATGTAGGTATCAACTTTACTTTGAGATGGAAGTTTATTTTTTTCAAAATAAAAGGATGATATTAGAATTTGGTTAACAAATCCCATATTTTGAATTGGAAAAATTAAAAATGTCATACCACCATTGTCCTTATTTGTTATTCAGACTAAACAAAAATCATGACATCCAGTGACAGCATCTAATAAATATAGGTCAATTGAGATTTAAACAAAATCCATGAAAATTGGACAAATTCTGATACTTCCATAACTAAAAGAACCCCGCACAAACCTTATGGAAAATGGCTCCCGGTTAAACTGGCTGAATTTTTTATATGTTGCGTATCTCGGCGTCCTGAACAAATGTCTTCATGAGCGCAAAGCCCAAAACTCCACAAGTTCCGACATAAACCTACCTAACCCCTAGAAACCTACCAAACCACAAGCAGACTAACCCACGTAATCCTGGGAACAGCGAGTTTACCTATTTTTCGTGAAATAATTAAATTCCGCACCGCAAGCTACCACAAACTTGTGCTTTGGTAGGGGTGGTTTCTAAAGGCTACTTGGGTTTATCTCGGAGCCCGTAGAGTTTTGGTCTATACACCCATGAAGACATTTGTTCAGGACACCGAGATACGTAACATATAAAAAATTCAGCTAATTTAACTGGGAGCCATTTCCCATATGGTTTATGCGGAGATCTTTCCCAATATCCAGACTCACTCGGTTTTTCAAATTGGTGTACACCCTGCAATTCTTAATTTTTGTATAAAATTCCAATTACATATTTGCTGTGATTCAGTGATCTGACAACATTTATCGTGAAATGTAAACTACATATGTACTCAAAATTGTTATAGATAAATTTCTAAGGTTTACCTCAATAAGATTTTGATTACAAGAAAAATATTCTCCAGAAAGTTATATTGCTCAAGTAATTGCTAAGGTAAATATATCAACAAATTTTCAAAAAATTGTATATGCTCAACTCATGTAAAAAATTAATTAGCTTTTAGTGTATCCCCTTTGGGTTAATCCACTCTTAAATATTTTTTCATAACATTTTACTATTTTTATTTTAGTTTTTCAATACAGATTATTTTAAAAATTTATATTATAAAAATATTAACTATACTAGTGTAAAAAATTTCCTACTCAAATTTTAAAATATTTAATAAATCATAAAAAAAAAGTCTACATTTATAATATTAAAATTACATAAAACAACATTTTTCTACTTTTTAAGTCTTCTTCCTATTCTGGTTACAAACTCATCTACATTTTCTATAAAATTTCGCAAGAAATTTAATCCTTTTGGTGTATTTTCAGCAATCATTTTTATATGTTCCTCACTCACTTTTTTACCCACTTTATGCACCACCGTTATGTCTTCTTTTGACACAGAAACCAGACTAGTTAGTGACATCTTCACCGTGATTATCCAAAATATTATTTGCTCCTGGTTTAAAATTTCAAAGGTGATGCTGTAAAAATAAAACTCGTTTCATCGACATGAATTCTTAGAAGTTATATGGGGTGGTTTGATTTTTTTGTTGAACTTTAAGAACAGGTAGATTATCAAAAAATAATGACAGTTTGATAAAGTATGTGGTGTAAGTTAAACTTTCTTAAAAATATACTTTTCCACAAATATTTTCCAAATCTACAATGTTTTTGGTGGTAAAGATGCATATTATTTTAAATATATTTTCAGTTTTATCAGTATCATGGTAAAGATGAGGTGTCTGCCGTTATAAAATAAATTAACACACTTCTAAAAAATATAGACAGGGTACTCAATTTATTGTAGGGGTTACTTTACTCAATGCTTTCAGATGCTGCACCCTATATTATTGTATTTTTTTTTTAATTTTCCTTGATTTAAGATCTGCTTTAATAAACAAAAATACTGGATCTAGGTCACACCCTCTCTATGTTTCTAGTTTGATGTTTAAAATAAATACATTTTAATAACTTTTATATAGTAAATTATCAGTATATTTTGTCAGTGGCATATACCATTAAAAATCTGAAAATTAATTTAAAAAATACCTACACCTTTATTGCAAACAAATTCTAAACGGTAGAACATTATCCGTCTGGAAAATATTTTTTTAATAAAACTTTCAATTTTGTATGTCAAGTTAACATCTTTTGCATAGGAATATAGATCAACTACCATTATTTTTTGATATTTTTCTAGTTTGATTAAAAAAAAAATCAAAACACCCTATACATTATTTTGTTTACCTGTAATCAGAATTCATCCTGAAGTGGTGACTTTTGCCATATTTCTTTACTAAACTAATATACTCGTTATGAAAATCACTTATTTCCTCCATGGACAAACAGATATAGTCCAATAATGCGAATATATCAAACTTTGCGCCCAATACTGATAATAAATTTTCATATTTCAATTTTTGTTGAAATAATTTTAACTGATACCAACATAACGATTCACAAAGATCTGAAAATAAGAAAACTGAATCTCCCTTCACTATATAAATTTTATTAATACACAAACTGTTAATTAAGTACGTCGGCAAACTCTGAAGGGGTATTTTGTGAGTAATTTTAAGCCAAAAAAAATATATAAAATGTTGGTTTTGGAGATAAAAGATGTTGAAATTTGGAATATATGAAGATGTTTGACGCAGAATGATAAAACTTAATTACATATTTCATTAAAAAATAAAAATCCCACTCAATTCACATACATGGTGTCCCATTTTAATTAACACACTGCAATATCTTGTAAGAGAAGCACAAAAATTTTTAAGACAAAAGATTCTGAGGAGGGCAAAGTTTTTTATATACAAATCCAGTGGAGTTTTATCTTTAATTAGATAGATATCTGAATTGATGTCTATATGTTTTTTTTTTTAATTTTAACATTCTATATCTCGATAACTATCGATTTGAGAACCAAACAAGGGTTACATGGTAACATTTAGAGAATTGTCCCCTAAACTTTATTTTTAGGCTTAATTAACACCCTTTATGTATATTGTGGTTAGTTAAAATTAAAGTTGTTTTTTAGATGATTTCTATTTCCACTCATAGAACTTGTGTGATAAAGAAATTCTGTACAAAATTTGTAAATTAAAAAATTAAATAGGGAAAGGTCAATTCTAAATTTTCAAGAGTTATGTACATATATGTATATAAAATTTTATTATTTTATTTATTTCCTCTCGTAATCCACTGATAGAAACAATCAAATGTTTTTTTATTTTTCAAAAAATCTTGACAATGCTTTAAGAAAATAGAAAAATTTTGTAAATAATAAGAAAAAACCTATTTAAATCTCTCGGTTTATTCAAAATAAAAAAGAAAAGAATATGTATAACACAATCTTTTTTAAATCTCAGGATTGGCCCGTTAATTTTTAATTTTGCAGATTAAAGATTGAAAATATTTAATTGTGAAAGTTTTCTGTCCAAAAACGGTATAGGTCTAACTTTTCGTCAACAAAATAAGACTATTTTAATTTCCACTAGCCGCTACTGACATATTTTTAAAGTTAGTATTTGAACCTATATAGACATACCTGATAAATTTGTGAATGTCTCTACACTATAAACCATTCCTAATTCAGGATGAATGTGTACCTTAAAAGGCAGAGTGCCAAAAAGTGTATAAAAATAACAATAATCACATTCCAGTTTTACAAATTCCCAATATTTTTTAGCTCTAAAAGAAATTTGAATTTGTCTGGTATAACAACTATATAAAACATTACCTACCTTTCAGCCATTTCACGGATACATTCATATATAGTTTTCGGAGCAACCACCGCTAGTGATGGAGGTGCTCTCGGGTCTACTTCGGTACTTGCAATATCCTCATTTCCACTACACAGAGATTCTTCCGAGTTTTGCTTACGTTCCTCTTCTATGTCTTGCTTACGTTTCTCTTCGAAAGTCATTATATGTACTTTTGACTTACACATCTCACTGATTTTACGACTATTTTTTTTGAACTGTTTAATTAGCTTAGGCATATCCAGATTCATCTGAGGACGGTTTGGTTTATACACTAAAAGACGTTTTTCTATATCCTCAAGTACCAACTGAGACCTTAAAGTGTAATCACCACAATTGGAAGCCCTAGAGCTGCTAATATTTTTTAGCGAATTGTCTAGCTCGGCAGCAATATTACTTTGATTTGGTGACTTGATTTCTGCACGTGAGTGGTCGAATTCCTCAGGTACTAGTTCTAAGGGAGTTACATCCTCCAAGAAACAACTCTTGTTGGTTTTAAGGCTTTCATTACTCATTTTGATAAATTTTACATCCAGTTTTTCCTCAGAAACGCCCAATGCATGATGAGGCGAATTATTAACACTGTCAAGATTCTTTTTAACATTCTCAACAAAAATGTTTTCATTTATTTTTACTAAACTATCAGCACCCTGGCAACTAGACATTTTTGTTGGTGAAACCGTGGCAGACTTTTCAAAAGGACTCTCTTCCGATTTGGAAACATTTTTCGTTTTGTCCAAACCATCGATGTTACGTTTAATGCCCCCATTTAACATTTTCAATGTTTCTGGTTTTGAAAATGATGCATGTATCAACTGTTGAGTGTCTTCTGTGCAAGGGCTCATGGTAGGCCAATTTATATGAAATGATGTTGTAGGTGTCCGAATATGATCTAAATTCGAAGTGTCGTTCAAATTCAAGTGAGCAGGCAATGCGGGATTTGGCATAAACGTCTTGCTATTATTACCATCAACAAAATCAGTATGTTTATTTATATCACTGGTATCTAAACTGACACTTAAGGTAGAGTTGTCATTTCCAATGCCTTGGTGATTCCTAGTTTTATTTTTGTTTATTTGTGGTAAAATTTGTTTATTTAGAGTACAATTATTCGTTAGCGGTGAATTTGAAGATACATCTTCTTTATTAATGGATAAACTGTTGCATCTAACAGCGTCTAGAGTTATTACATTAATTGTGTTATCTGTGCCAGCACTGCTCTGATTTACGTTTTTAAACTCATCCAAACAAATTTTCTTTTTACAATCTGCAACACCTGAATTATTGTTTTCTATCAATGTTGGTATGTTAGAGACCAAATTTACCATTTGAAGATTTTTTGTTAAAGACATTTCACTTTTAGTTTTGTCTATTTCAGCTTCTACAAATTCCTTTTCGATAGGCTGAGTTGATAATGCGGTCGTGAGATTCATATCATCTGCCTGGGAAATTGTAGAGTCAACGGTGTTATGAATTTTACCAACCAGTGTTGTTGTGAATTCCATATTATACTCTGATTTCTCAAAGCATACATCGGTATTTAAATCCGCATCTTTCACAAGAATCTTCGGGTTTTGAAACGTTTCTGTAAACTCCATTTCCTCGCCAGAATCGTCAAAACAAATTGTTTTTTGCTTATTTAGATTGTTGTTATAAATCTTTACCGGTATCGTGGTAGTAAATTCCATATCATTGTCTGACTGATTGAAAATTACTGTTTTATTTTTTAACTCCATTTCATTCTCAGTCCTTGCTTCAATATTTTGTTCATCTTTATTAATTACGCAGGTAAAGTCCATGTTACCTTCCGTTTCGTTGAAAAGTATTTTTTTTCGATTTGATGTATTCGTAGAAAATCCTTTTTCTTCAGAATGACCACTTTTATCCATATTAGTCAATTCCATACCATTCATAGAGTCATTGAAGCATATAGTTCTCATTTCTACATCCACTGTTGCATTTTTAGAGGCATTTCTGTGGAGTTCTTCCTTATTTTGTTCTGAATTCTGAATTGTACAAACATTTTTTCCAATTGCACCGTTTTCTTTATTCGCATCTAATCCAGTAAAATCATGTTTGTTTTCGGATTTATCAAAATAAACAGCTTTTTCATTCGATTTTACAGATATTGTACAGTCCATTTTTTCCTCTACAAAATATTTAGTTGCACTGGTAGCTTCAAAACAATTCCGCTTAGAAACAACTAAGGATGATAAATCATTTATAAGAGGATTGACGTTTTCTTTATCAGTTAAACAGGTCATCTCCATCGTATTTTCTGAAAGTTTTGTTGTCGAGCAAGAAATATTTTTAATTTTGTAAAATGGAGAAATTATAGAGGTATTTTCTTGTAACTTAGCATCTTTATCAGCTTCACTAGTAGTGAGAAATTCTGTTGTTTTATTTATCATGGTCTCAATGCCAACTGACTTAGTTCTCAGTTTTCTAGCAAACGAAACTAAACTTTCTCCTGAATTCATAACGTCTGCTTGTGCTTTTACTGCATCAGCATTAACACACTCTGTATTCAAAGAAGCAATATCTGCAGGATTGTGTTCATTCTTAGACTTATTTCTCAGTTTTCTAGCAAACGAAACTAAACTTTCTCCTGGATTCATAACGTCTGCTTGTGCTTTTCCTGCATCAGCATTAACACACTCTGCATTCGAAGAAGCAATATTTGCAGGATTGTGTTCATTCTGTTGTATTTCTGAATATATAAATGTGTGTAAGAAATCAAATGCTTTTGTCTTATGTGTTTGGTCAGACGGCGACTTTGAAGAATCGGTATGATTAACTTCTTCCTCATATGTAGTATCCCATATGGTATTTTTTTCTGGATCTGCTGCGAATGGCCTGCAAATTATAATTAACTGCTAAGTTTTGTTGCATTATTAGCGAATGGCTGGGTCCACTTTTTTAATTTTTAAATAATTTTAATAAACAAAAAATTATACAGTCTGTACGGTATTTGTTGAGATGGAATTCCAAGAAGACCCCAACGTCACTTTGCATTCGACACCCAAGATAGAAAGTCATAAGCAGAAAATTTTAAGGTACGCCTCTGCCGTAGTAAACGACATCCGAAGTAGAAAGACACTAGTGGTAAATTGTTACAGTAATTCCGATAACAGAACTTTAGTGGCTTATTCTTTTTTTGGAATTCTATCTGAACAAATATTGTACGGACTATACCTACATACAGTAAAAATACTGCTTATTCAACGTTTATCTCAGCAATGAAAACTAATTGGTAACAAGTTTAATAATAAAATGGTTTTCCAAACCTAGTGGTTTGGAATATTTGAATTTTTTGGATATATTAAGGACAATTTTATCAATAACTCCACCTCACAATTACATTGGCAAAACTTAAATACCTTTAATTGTAAGACTCGGAGAACATTAGGAGTACATATATCAGAAATGGAGAATTTGAAAAATCAGAATTTTGTAAACATGCATTTTATTGTTGTGTGACAACTGTAAAAACACTTAAAAAGGATAGTATACTTCGATCTCTTCCAATTAATGATTTGGAGATAAATAAACACAGGTAGTTTTATTTAATAAAACCGTTTTTTATTATTAAATTTATAAAATTTGGAAAAATAGAATTGGAAAGCTATAATATACCTATCAAACATATTAGAATTATAACTTCCAAATATCTAGAAATTTGATTAAGTGTATGTTCTTTCCCTTCTTGATATTCCAGTCTATAATAGTTCTCTTGTGTGTCAAATTACGTACTGTTTACTTAAATTGAATAAATAGTAAAAATTAGGGTCCAGATTTTCATAGAAATCCTGCTTTTTTGTCAAAGTCATCCCTAGAAGTCCTTAAGTAGATTCGTTAAGTAAGAATACTTACTTAACAAAGTTACTGCTAGCAAAACTGACTCTACGTGTTGCTCTGGCCAAAGTAGTATCAGGATTTGCTTCGGAAAAGTCTAACGTTGAAAGAGGATTCCTTGTTTTTTGTGGCTTCAAAATCTATGAGAAATATAGTTCTGTAAACAAGATTAAAGATGCAGTTATCGTATACATACAGACGATCTCCGTTTTTTGTCGAAGTCCATCTCTACAGACGATCTCCTTTTTTTGTCAATTTCCATCTCATCCATTTCAACTTCAATAAATCTACATACATTTAAAATGAATTCAATAATGAAATACATCACTGTTAATTAATTCCTATAAATACATCTCTTCATAAACGAAAATTAGAAATCTTTTAGACAGAACAAACTGTTTCACGAATAAGAAGGTATTTAAAAAATATGTATATAAAAAACGTACTCAGTATTTTCATTGTCATCCATTTCTAGCTAGATGTAACTTAAACAAAACTATCAAATCAAAACTATACTTATAAGAAGTGAAATATAAACTGATTGAATTGATAACAGTTTTATTACTGTTATTTTTATTTAAATTTCAAATTTTTGACATTTGTCGGTAACAGATAAATAGGGAACGTTCCACATTTTCATAAAAGCGTTCCACAAATTAAATGTAAAATACACATACTCGGGGGCTTTCGTTTTGGCAAAAATAGTACCTATAGCAACTAATATCAGTTCAGAGTAACTCTAAGTTGCTATTAGCCACTAATAGCTACTATTTTTGCCAAATCGAAAAGCCCTCTTCTATACATATACCACGCCATTATTCCATGGCTAGAAATTGGCCTCAATGATTTGGGATCGAGGGGGATTATCCTTGTTTATCCTGCCTCATCTCGTGTAGGCCTGGACAGCCTTCGTAGGTAGGCCCCATCCGTCGTCTACCCCGACCGCAAATGCGGCCGGTGTAGGCGCTTTGTGGGACCTCCTTTTGTCCTGGCTGGGCCCCGCCGGCTAGGGCCCTTTCTTCTGGCGCTCTTCTTGCTTCGCCGGCTCGTCTGTGTAAACCCCGGGGGTAGTGTCATGTTTATGTGTGGTATGGTTGGGTAGGGTAGTGCGGCTATGCAGCCTGGGATGCGCTTTGCTAAGGTGGCCCTTAGGCTAGCGCGGG